ACGCAGCATAGGCCAACAGCAAACGCACGGACTCAAGGTGAGCCACTGGTGCGAAAACTTCGTCGTAGTCCACGCCTTGTCGCTGCACATAGCCCTTTGCGACGAGCCGGGCTTTGAATTTGGTGATCAGCCCAGCCTCATCCCTCTTGGTCTTGTACACCCATTTGAGGCCAATGGGGCGCGTCCGTAGCGGCGGCTCGACCAGCTCCCAAGTGTCATTGGCCTCGATGGAGGTGAACTCGTCGAGCATCGCGTGGCGCCAATTTTCATGCTTCAGCGCCTCCTTGAACGTTACAGGTTGAGCTTCACTCGCCAGCAGCAGCTGCTCCTCCAGCTCTCGTGCGGCCACCCCAGGTGGTGTGACCGACCCCAAGATGTTGTCGACACCACGGTACCAGAGGGGAACATCATCATCATGGTCCGCGTCTAGGTGTTGCGATGCGCCGGCACCCGGTGGTGACACAAACTCGACCGGGTCCGTGTGCATCTGCGCGTGCGTGCCCGGCGTCGCGCTCCCGGCTGTGTGCCACGGCGAGCCTGGTGGTGGTGTCGAAGAGGACGATGTAGACGAACTCACCCCTGGAGTCGATGTGCGTGTGGTCGTCGACGTCGTGGTGGTGATCACCTCGGGCGACGCTGTGGGGAACTACTCGATGACGAAGTCCCCGCCGTCGTCGAAGTGGCCTTCACCCGAGCTCCACTGCGCCTCTTCTTGGAACACCACATCGCGACTGATATGGACACGCCGCGCCACCGGGTCGTAGACACGGTACGCCTTGGAACCCGGTTCGTAGCCGACGAAGATCATCTTGCGGCTGCGATCGTCGAGTTTCTTGAGGCTTGGGGAAGTCACCTTCACATGGACGAGACACCCAAATGTCCGGAGATGGTGGACAGCTGGCGTGCTCCCCGTCCAGAGCTCGTAAGGAGTCTTGCCCCCGACGCTCTTTGACGATGATCGATTGAGCAGGTACACCGCCGTGGTGACTGCCTCCCCCCAGAACACCCCGGGGAGGCCCTTCGCCTTTAGGATGCTGCGTGCCGTCCCCACGATGGACTGGTTGCGGTGCTCCACGACACCGTTCTGTTGTGGCGTGTACGGTGCCGTGAGCTCGCGCCTGACGCCGAGTTCAGCACAGTAGTCGACGAAGTCCGCGGCAGTGAATTCCCCGCCACGGTCCGTCCGCAGCGCCTTCAGCTTCTTCCCACTCTTGCGCTCCGCAGCGGCCTGGATGCGCTTGATCGCCGTCGGGGGCAGCATCCTTGGTAGGCAGCAGGGCGAGCCACATGTAACGAGAATAGTCGTCGACGAGGAGAAGGAAATACCGGTTGCCGCTCGGCGTCGCCGGTGTGATGGGGCTGCACAAGTCACCGTGCAACAGCTGGAGCGCCTCAGTGGAACGTCCCAGAGCACGCTGGGGAAATGGGGCGCGCCGGTGCTTCCCAGCGAGGCAGGCTTCACAGACCTGCTCCACCTGAGTGAGCAGGGGCAGACCTCGGACGAGCCCGTCTTTGCCCATCTTCCGCAGAGCGGCGAAGTGGAGATGCTCGAATCGAGCGTGCCAGACCCAGGCGTCGTCGTCGACGCGAGCAGCCAGGCAGACCGGCCGTGCGATGGTGACGTCGAGCACGTACAGCCTCCCTGGGCTGCGGTGGATCTTCGCGAGCAGGCGCCTTTCCTCGTCGCGGATCCGCATCACACCGTCCTCCACGAGCACCTGGTACCTGGCTTTGTCGAGTTGGCCGACGGAGATGATGTTGGCGGTGAGGCGCGGAAGGTAGTAGACGTTCGGGAGCGACCGGTGCTCGCCATTTTTGCAGGCGAAGAGCACAGTACCGCTCCCTTCGATCTGCGCGACGGCGCCATCACCGAATCGCACGGTGCCGATGATGCCGGTGTCGAGGTCGGCGAAGGCAGCTCGCGATCCCGACATATGGTTGGACGCGCCGGTGTCCAGGATCCAGCGCTTTGGATCCCGGTCCTCCGCGGCGTCGAGGGTGGCGTGGACCTTCTGCTCGACGAGGTGGAGGGCGGCGCCATCTTGGGTCGCCGGGGTAGCAGGGCGCGTTGGTACTGGCGGCGGCTGCGTGAGTGGTGGAGCGGGCGGCGGCTGGGAGAGCTATGGAGCTGGCGACGGCGGCCCTGAGCCGTGCGGTGGCGGCGGCACTGGACTGTGCGGCGGCGGCGACGGTACGAAGGAGTACGAGCTCTCCTGCTCGTGGGTGGAACTGATGGCCAGCAAAAGAGTGGGCTCATCGTCTTGGGCCGTGTGGGCTTGCTCCTCCCTTTTCTTTGTCCTGCAATCTTTGGCCCAATGGCCTTTTTTCCACAATGTTTGCACTCATCGTCAGGATTTGGACGGCCCGTGCTGGAACCAGCCCTCGAGTCGTTGCTGCCGCCGGCGCCATGGCCGCGGCCTCTCCCACGACGTTTGCCGCGGCTGCCAGAGGTCGAGCCGCCACGATTGGACCCTTGGTCCCGCTTCTTGTAGCGCTCGATCCACTGCTCCTCCGTGAGTAGCAGCTTCCCAGCAACAGTCTGCGCCGGCGGGGGCTCGTCGTCGGCAGCCTTGAGTCTCCCTGTGACTTCTTCGATGGACAACGTGGAGATGTCCAGGAGGGTCTCTATGGAGATAACAAGTTGCTTATACCTTGGGCGCGCGACGCGCAGGTACTTCGCCACCACCTTCTCGTTCGGCTCCGGGTCGCCCAGCATTGCCAGACGCTGTACGATGTTCGTTAGACGGAGCGCAAAGTCTTCGATTGACTAGCCGTCGCGGATGGCGATGCCCTCGTACTCGCAGCGGACGGCCTGCGCGGTCGCCTTCCGCACGCGGTCGTCGCCAATGCGGAGGGTCTTGATGGCCTCCCAGGCTTCCTTCGCAGTTAGCTTGGTCGCGAGTGCGGGCACCATCTCCGCCGGGACGGCGCTGCAGATCGCGTCGAGTGCGCTGCGATCGTCGTCGAACTCCACGTCGTCGTACTCGACGGCGTCCCAGAGGTGACGCGCCTGCATCTTCAGCTTCATGCGGAGCGACCATTCGTGGTAGTTCGTCCTTGTCAGCTGCAGCCAGTTGCCGGAGCTGCTGCCCTCCCGGATGATACGTTCGATGACGACCTCCCGCGGACGTCATGCGTCGCGGGTGCGTGAACGGCGTGCGTCGCGCGTGCGTGAACGACGAGGAGGGGAACGAGTCGGAGTAGGCGTGCGCGGCGGCGTCTTGCCGCCGGAGCCGCCGGAACCGTCATCCTTCTTGGACAGTGAACGGCCACGGGCTCTCGTCGGAGACGCCATGGCGACGGCGAGATCCCTCGAACTGAGCTCTGATGCCACTTGTTAGTCACCGGACGGTGGTTGATGCCGGCTGGAGGTCACGAGCACGACTGTGTTTGCGAACACGAAGGCAAAGGACTCAACGCACACGAATACTGGAACACGGTGGTTTTTTGGTGCTGCCTGAAAGCCCAGCTTTTCTGAGTTGCTTTCTTCCTTTTATTGAAACGGATTACAAAGAACGGAGGTCTCAGCGGCAGCCCGTGCATCGCGCTCTGGTGCGTCCATCCCCACACCCACGATGTCGTGCACGACCGAGATCCCAGGCTCGTGGGCGAGCTAGTCCAGCTCCACGGCCTCCTAAGTGTGCGGCTAACCATAGGTTGGTGCTCGGCACATGCAAAACAGAAAAGGAAACATGCCTATCTTTTGCAACTAATCCTGCGCAAGAATTACTAACAGACGCAAGCCTAGAACAATTGGCAGAGTGGATTGGGGATCGTCTGTCATCCCAGTCGAATATTGGGCGGGAGCTGCTTGCGGGAGGTCGTCACCGCATATCCCAGCCGCTTGCTAACGCCATGGCAGTATTTGATAATACAAAGCAAACAATTAAAAAATAATCTACCAACACAAGACCTGTGTATGATTTTTTTTTTCTGCAAAAGAGAGAGATAACACTTATGTTCATATTTAAACTAAAATGGCCTAGGATACACTGTCAACAATGCTACACACAAATGATCAAATTACTTGACCCGCATGCACCACTCATTAGGAAATAAAATGGACCTCAACACAATCTACCAATTTGGACTGAACAAAATGGTTTATTCAATTTGATGGATTGACATATAAGAATGCACAGTTTGTTATGCAAAATCAATAGTCTTCTATATGATCATGAGCAGAATAAGTGAGAAATAGTTGTAGCTAGCTCCACTTCAGCATGCGGACCCTGATCCCATATATGGCTAAGAAATAGCTGCCTGAAGCGCAATCGCACACAGCATGGTAACCCTGATCCATATAGCTTAGAAAGAAACAGCCAAGTTTATTTGGCTGGTCCTTATAAAGTTTGAGCATCGGGCAAATTAGACTGCAAAATGGTTCTGTACGCAAAGATCTTGCTTATTGAGCATCTATCTACCCAATATATCTACCCAACTAATTCATCAACATTTTCATTGCTAAATTGCTAAACCCACAAAAAAAAACGTCCTCCGCTAAGAGTCTTTTAGTCCATCCACCCTAAATTATGCACCCAAAACAACAATTCTATAAAAACGAACAGTCTAGATGATTTATGGACCTTCTTTCCTTTCTCACATCTAACGGTCAGAATCATTTGTGTCAACCTCCTCATCCTTCGTCCCTTGTCCCATCCCACGTCCACGACTGAAAACCCCCTCGGCAGCCGCGGTTCGATCCCTCCTCCCCTCTTTTTTTCTCTCTTCAGTGCTCGACGACCCATTGTTTTTTTTTGCCTTCCGCTCGACGCGCCTCCCAGGTCCTCCCTCGCCATCGCCGACCGCCTTGTGCCCGTGCCTCTGGGTAGTAGTAGCAGCAGGCAGCTGCTACTTCCCCTTTCGGCGCCGGTGTCCGTGGCCAGCCAGAGCGGCAGTGGCCAGCCGGTGCATGCACTTTCGCTGGCGGCTCATGGCTCGCGACCACCGGGCGGGGCGGCGGGCGGCGGCGAGAGGTCGGGTGGCTCGGATCTGCCACCATGCCGCCTGGATGGAGGCCGAGCAGTTCCATTGCTTCCACGGAGTCAAGGATAACGTCCCGGTTCGCTAAGCGGTTCCATTGCTTCCACAGAGTCAAGCCTCCATCCAGGCGACACGGTGGCAGATCCAGACAAGTTCTACGTAATGCCTCAAGCCTCCATTGGTGACTTGTCAGAAAATGCCCAAGGGAGGCTGTAACAGAACCGTCCAATTTATAAGAGCACAACTACAATAGCAATCACCGAAGTGAATGTATCATGTATGCCTGATCTGAAGATAGAGAGGCTGATCTGTCCTCTGAATCTGAATGTATGCCTACTCTGATTCTCTGAATGTTAGATTGTTAGCTAATATGTTTACTCTGAATGCCTGCTGTCATTTGGTAATATTGTTGTCACTTGTTAATTGTTATTTGCTCTGAATGCCTAATTTGAATGCATGAATGCCTGAATGTTACTCTGCATGCCTGAATGTAGGATGTATGACTGATTGTTTTAGTTGATTTGCTACATGTATGCTGAACTCTGAATGTTCACTGAACTCTGAATGTATTGTCACTGAAATCTGAATGTATGTATAGGATGTCGACAACAGAGGTTGCACCTGAAACTAAGGGAGCGAATCTCCTGAGAAGGAATTCGGATGATGTGGGATGGGAATATGGGGTTCTTGTTGATGCTAACAACAAGGACAAGGTGAAATGCAAACTCTGTGACAAGGTGATGCAAGGAGGGATTTATCGGTTGAAGCAACATGTGGCCCATGAAGGAAAGAATGCGACGAAATGCAAGGCCAGAACACCGAAGGCTCTGGAGGCTAAAGAGAAGTGCAAGAAAAACTAAATGATGCAAAAAGGAAGAGGGAGGAGAAGACTGTTCGTGAGCTAGAACTTAGAGAGGAAGTGAATGTTTCTCGGGTTGGAGGTGGAGAGTCAGAGGAAGTCACTTGTATTGGAAGTTTAGAGCCTCACAAATTAGGACCCATTTGTTTCAACTCCAAGCTGATTAATAAGAAAGAAACTCCTTAGAGATTCTACGAATCTGCCAGGAAGATCGGGACCCGGTCCCGCTCTTGGAATCACGCCATTGGCTCTCCACACATCCTTACTGCCTTCAGTGTGCGCACTTTCACTTATCGGGGCCCGACCTGAATTGAGCTACTCGGCTTCGTGGTCATATCCACAGATCTGGCCAACTAAGTGCTAGGCATGCGTTCAACATGATATGAGGACGTACAACAAATCGGTCCTTAATCGACACAAACGGGGATAGATAGGCACCCAAGACATCCATGCCTTGTTGCTTCTCTATCACGATCCCGCCCAGTCTCCTTTATTCATTGACACATGGTTATATTCCATGCTAGCACATATAGCCAACCGTGATTAGTTATCAGCCTATATCATGCAGGTGACAGGTAATCACCCGACTTCTACCGACTAAGCATGGCTAAGCATATATTCGATCCTGGACCTACATAGAATTCAAGATGTATATATATCTGAACAAGGAAGATATATGCAGCAAGTGGTTCCAATCAATTCCTAGTACTTAATGCATCAACATAAAGGACTCAAGTTGATAGTTCGAAAACATATGAGGCTTAGAATGCTTCGGGGCTTGCCTTTCACAAAGGTTGAGGGCTGGTGATCTGGGCACTCAGGCAGCTGTTCACCATCGGGCTCATCTTCTCCTAGGGCCTCCTATTGCTGTACTTCCTGATGCTCTTCCTGGGGATCGGCTTCGTACTCCAACACGGTGATTTCTTCCGTCGCACCTATTGCATGCATATGCAAAAAGTGAGAATCATGAATGCATAAGAAGGGTCATGGATGACATGTCATGATAATGCGCATGGTTAAATAATAACTATCATATTAGGTCATTAGGATGATAACAAGGTTAACTTCTTAATTACTGAGTAGGTGCTTATCTCTTCTCTAGAAATTTCAAGAATCCACACTAAGTCCATTTCTTGACCACAACACAACAGCTACAAGTTTAGATCATAACTGGAGTTCTACTCAACCAAATGCTATGATCCTAGACTTTCTAGAAAGCTTATAAAATTGCCTACATCTTTCATTTAATCACCAAAAAGCTGATTCAACTACTATCCTAGCCAAAACAGGTAAACTTCACAGGTCTGTCCAGAAATCCCAAAGAGTAAGTGTCGGTGCAGAAAGTGACCAACACATAAATATTTATAGTTTTGTTGTATATTGTGGTCGGAGGTGGCCTAGCACTCAATGACATAGGGTTTATACTAGTTCAGGCAACATGCCCTACGTCTAGTTTGAGTCGGTCGGTGACTTTATTCCTGAGCCCAGGTGCTCGAAGTTTGCAGTGGGGTTTCAAACGAGGAGAAAGATGGGGGGTACAAGAGGTCCGGTCGGACTCTGGTCTGAGGGGCCGAGAGTGATGGGAGCTCTGCTATGTGCTAAGTGTTTGAGCGTGTGCTCGGTATAACTTTAGAGTGCCTAAAGTTACAGCTGGTGAATCAATGTAAGTGAACTGATCGATCTGAATGAACTGAGTTGTGTTGGAGAGAGCGCGTCCCCTTTTATAGATGAAGGGGATGGCCTTACAAGTGAGAGGGAGAGAGTACGTACACTGCTAAGTCTTGCTGCCCACACCGGCGGGTACAAGATGATGGTAGGCTCCCATAATACTGTTTATTGTCAGATGCACGTGGGAGGTTGCGTCGTCTTCTTCTGGCATGGTAGATGTCGGTGCCTGTCACACTATTGATACCCAGAGGCATGTAAGGGGTTTTACCATGTTCGCTTGGTATGGTAAATGCCGACACCCACAACACTGTTGATGCCCAGAGGCATGTGGGGGGAGCCTTACCGTATTTGTCCAGTATGGGAGTTGATGGCGCCCACAACACTATAGGGGAAAATGTCGGCGCCTATAACACTGCTTCGGTTCTGTCATGCCAGGGAGGTCGTAGGGGACTGTCCTGCAGGTGTACAGGGTATGGTCCTTAGTATTGCGGTTTGACTTGTGCGCCCTGCCTTACTTTCTCTGTCCGTTTCCTGGTCCTTACCAAGCGGGCGTCCCCGGTCGGTTGGTCCCTGTCGGCTCTTATTGCGCCAGTCAGAGAGGAGCTGTAAGCAAGGGTTTGGTGTTTTCCCGGTCGTAGAAGCGGGTCGGAGTCAGAAGTGGTGCTTTGGCCAGGCCTTCTAGTCAGAGAGGTCGTCTGGAGGCGGGCTGGAGACCAAAGCGAGCGCTCCGGTCGAAGAGGCGGGCCGGAGTTGGAAGTGGGTGTCGTTCCTCCTTGGCCAGGTCTTCCGGTCGGAGATTGGATCACCCTTCTGGCCTGTTGTTTAGTTATTTGGGCTGGCCCAAGAGTTGTGCGTTGGTTAGCAACGTTGTCCGCTGGGTCAAACCTTTACTGGGAAGCCGGTCCATGAGGGACCCCGGGTTTATGAACCCGACACCATACATATACTTCCATATCAAAGGTATCCGATGACAATTTATTACCCATAATTAAATACACACCATACATGCATGCAAGCATGCATACATAGTCGTATCAAAGCTAGCTCTCCCCGACCGCACGCTCACTTCTTGCGGTCATGTCACTCGTCAACTTACCGTCTTACCTGACATAGAGGCATTTGATCCATACATTACCATTCAAGTGAATGACATCCATACAATAGCACGTCGTATGGACGACAAAAATAAAAACCCCCCAAGTTAGTACTTAATTAGCCACCTAAAGTCCTTAATTGGGCATAAAGGAAGTGATCACTAGCACACTTTAGATTTCAAATTCTGGGTTTCAAACACCTATTTATATAGCTATTAGTTGCTAGAAACTGGTTTTGGAAAACAAAAACCTTTGTTTTAAATACACATGTGGCAATTAATGTTGAATCTTGTTATGATGCCAGCTGCCATAGAACCAACAAATTTATAAGAGCACAAGTACAATGGCAGCCTCAAGCGGTCGCACTGTCATACTTGAGCTCATATAGACCCGGTAGTCCATCGAGTACCACGATGGGTCTCGATTAACGATCCACATACAACCAAGATCGTACATGATTCAACATACATGTCACATAAGGTTCACAGATACAGTTCATTCATCAGAGTACGAAATAAGGTTATTACAAACCAAGTTCGATAGATAGTAGCAAAAGCAAATTAAAGTTTGAAACTAGCATTTGCCAACATAGTTCAAATACAGTGCCAACTCATGATCACAATACACAAAATCATATAAGAAGGATTATTAAAGATACCTGCCCAGGGCTCACTCCTCATCCATGGCGGGACAGAAGCAATGCTTGCAATAGCCATGATAAACTGTATCATCTGCAACAATAGGAATAAAATCCTGAGTACGAGAAGGTACTCAGCTAGACTTATCCGTCATAAACCAGAAATAAATTGACTCCAAGGATTAAGCAAGGCTTTATAAGTGGAGGTAGCTTAATAATATTTTGCATAAAAAGCGATTAACTTAGTTATACAATTATACTTTGGTCATCAAGTTAATTATAGCTATTCATCTCTAGATTAGCAACTAGCCCGTGCCAAACATGTGGTATATCATTTAAGAGCATACAATAGTAACCATAGGCGGTGTAGTAATTCCATGTTTATCCGAACCATCACATTCCATAATACAATTACTACGATGTTAGAGCTAGCCAAGTTTCTCACTATCCGGGAGAGACGGTGATTCAAATCGATTTCAATTAGCTGGAAATTTATTCCTAACACAAACCCAGGCAGACCAGATCAACGGTCATCTTAGGTCACCTTTGGTACAACTCAAGTCCACATTTTGTGGGTTCGCCTAGCGTGGCACAATCAGGGACAACCAGCTGCCAGGACGTTCAGGCCCGGCCTACCCTTGGGCTCACATCTGGCTCCCCACACATCCTTACTACCATCCAGAGTGCGCACTTTTACAGAATAGGGCCTGGCCTGAGTTGAGCTACTCGGCTTCACGGTCGGAATGAGTTATCCGGCCAGCTAAGTGAAAGGCATGTGTTCAATCTTGTCAGAAGTGCCAACAACGGTACGGTCCTTAATCGGCACAAATGGAATCACATGAGTCAACCTACACATAGACTCCGCCTGGCCTCCATTTACATTACCTCATAGTTCTTTTCCACGATAGCAAATATAGCCAACCGTGCTTTGGTATCCACCTATATCTCGCAGGTACCAGTAAATCACCCGACTTCTATCGGTCTAAACATGGCTAAGCATATATTCGATCCTGGACCTACACAGGGTTAAAGATGTATGTAACTAGACAAGGTAGTTCTATGCATCAAGTATTTTCAATCAACTCTTATAACCTAATGCATCAAACATAAATGACTCAAATAGTATTTTGTAAAACATAGGAGACTTAGAATGCTCCGGGGCTTGCCTTTGAGGAAAGAGGTGGGTCGGTGATCTGGGCACTCAAAGAGCTCTTCGGGAGTCTGCTCCTCTTCTCCTAGAGCTATGGCTTGAGGAGTCTCCTGCTGATCCCCTTCCTCTTCTTCGTTGAATTCCAATAGTGTTATCTCTTCAGACGATCCTATATGCATGAGCATGAAATAAGATATCACGAATGCATATACGACGACACGTGTAATATGATATGACGTGATGAATGCATTCTCTTAAGTGTTTTCAATAGCATGGTATTAAAGTAATAACAAGTGCATCTTATTCTACTGAGTAGGTGTATATCGCTTCTCTATTACTTAAGCAACCATTTCTGTAATTTATTTTCTGGGCTACAAGACAGCAGCTACTTGTTTTAACCATAACTAGAGTTATATACATAGAAATAAAATGGTTGTGGAAATTCTGGAAAGATTATGAAATTATCTATAACTTTCTTTTAATACCCTTGATGTGATTCAATAGTTATCTAGGTCAAACAATTCAGTTAATCAAATCTATTAAGAGAGCAAGCATTTAGGACAGCAAACTTGTAATAGCCAAAACTCTTAAACCCAAAGACCTATGACTATGAAAATTTTAACACAAGGTAGATCAGTAAATTATCTACAACTTTGTTATATACAAGTTTTACAGAAAAGACCATTATCACCATGAAATTATCAACTCAACCAAAACTATACATGCAACCATTTATTTGAATTATAAAGCAATAATTAATTAGTTGTATACAACCAATTGCTTCTAAGCCTTACTATTAACATCAACAGTTCATATGTATCACAAGCACCATAGAAAACATCATGGTCAAGCACAATTTATTTATTTAAATACCTTTATTAATTTAATTAGATAATTTAGTGAAATAACAAACATATATCAAATGTGCACAATAAATTCTCATAAAATTACAGTAGCTTTCAAGTGCTCCCAGTAGACTACTGTAAAAATTTCCTACCATTTGGACATGTATAACATTCTCTACAAAAATAACAAGCTAGCAAGGTTTATTTTAGTAAAAATAGTTAACCCTATAGAAAAGTGTCAAACAATAGATATTATATTTTTCTTAGCTTCATTCTAGTGCCATAATATTGTACAACAATTTGCATGGCAATATATTACTTATTTTTATCTCTATAATTTTCTTCAGAAAACACCATTTATTAATAGATAAATAGAAAGACCCTACTTCAATCAAGTTTACTACAAGTTTATTATTTTTTCTAGCTAGAGCATGTCAACACAAGACCAGCAAAATTGGGATCACAATCTTATCACATTCCTAGCTCAAGTTACACATTTTACAAAATTATAAACATTCAAAAAGCACTTATCTAGCTATATTTTATTCACCTAGAAAAATACTAGAAAAAGTACATTTCATATTTTTATAAAATACTACACTTTATGAGGAATCTAACAAAATTTGGTTCACCAAAATTAGACATTCCTAACTCTAGATATGATTTTCCAAAGTTAATACAAAAATCTAGAAAATAAAAAATAAAATCCTAAACTGTACTCGCTGACACAGGGGACCCACGGGTCAGCGGACACCACTCGTCAGTGAACTGAAATAGGGGACGGTGGTTGACCGGTGTAATGTAGACAAGGCCCGATCTTTCGATAGGTATGATAGCGTCGATTGGTGGAGACTCGACTTTCACGATCTAGGCTTCGAACCAAGACTAATTTGGACCCTCGCAAACGTTACATCACTGCTCCGTTGGTTATCAACCACGCCAACGCGATTGACCTCGCCAAGAAGGCTTTCCTACAAGCGAATCAAGAACACAAGCAAGAATGAGATAAACGCAATTTGAAATTGCAAATAAATATGAGACTTATGATAACGAGGAGTTCAAGTCTTTATTCGAAAGGACTAATCGCCACAGGCGAACAAGATCAAGAACTGGGCCCTGGTTCACAGCAGGTGACCTTGGCGGCACAGTTGTAGTAAAACGACGTCTGTTTCACAAGGAAATCAAGAACTAAACAAAACCCAAGCCCTAAGGAGGACGACGGCTGCTAATTATAGGGCCCCGGACGTCACCCCCTGGACGCGCCCCAAATGGGCCCAAACACGATACACGGTCCAACGGACCAAAAGACGGTGTCACAGCACCCTAGCAGATTCTGGACGCATGCACCCAATATTTTCTTGCAAAAAAAGCGAAAAAAAAGTTTATATATTCACATAATATATGCAACTAGTATTGCCCGTGCTAACGCAACGATGACCTTCGGTAGTACAAATCAAACATTGAAAAAATAATATATGCATTGGTAACAAATATATTAACACTGATCTTGACAAGACACACTCAAAGAGTTAGAACTATAATAAGTATATTTTCTACCAATCAACTTCCCTACCCTAGATATAGAGGCCTAAATAAGCATGTCTTGGTGGCAGTAATTGCCGTGGCAAAGGTTCAGTAAGGTGTGTGCCAAGCACCTTTCTACCAAAATCTTCTCTGTAGCTAGCAAAGCATGAGATGACCGATATACCACCTGCAACTTAACCCATCAATGGCAATATTTGTTTTGGTTCCTGTCGGTGACCAATTTATGAGCTATTATTTCTCATCCTAACTCTTATCATTTGCTCAGAACCAACGAGAACAAAATTTAATATTTAAGAAATCAAGAAATGATGGGAAGAACATACCGCATTGATCAGCCCATAAAACAAACTGATGTGCACTTATGTTATATCGGAAATCACAATTGTTCAATGCTGAAATAGGTGGAAATGAAGCAACTGCTCCTCGCTGCAATATTCAGCTTAAACATTGGCTGATTTGGTGTGAGAGAAAAATATTGTTCATTGACTGATAAACCATGACTTATAAACCAAATACGACCAAGCGAACAGGCTGATAGTCTTGTTGCATCAGAGAATGAGGCAGACGAACAAGCAGGTTGGCAATGACTGAAAAAACAGTGATCCACTGGTCAAACGAACTGAGCAAAATCAGACAAACAAACACATATGCTGGTTGATTTATAGAAATTTTCCATTTGTTAGCACGAGGCGAAATTCTATTTTTGAACCCATAATTAGCAACACATCAAGTTGAATTGGCTCAGGTTAGCATAGCAGCCAAATTTGTTCCCATACAGTTCAATGTACCAGAGATGCACGAATCTTGTCTCCAAACAAGAACAGAAATTACAATAAAAAGGATTTACCTCACAGAGGGGGGAGTCAGTGCTGGACGCAAGCCTAGAACAATTGGCAGAGTGGATTGGGGATCGTCTGTCATCCCAGTCGAATGTTGGGCGGGAGCTGCTTGCGGGAGGTCGTCACCGCATATCCCAGCCGCTTGCTAACGCCACGGCAGTATTTGATAATACAAAGCAAACAATTAAAAAACAATCTACCAACACAAGACCTGTGTATGATTTTTTTTCTGAAAGAGAGAGATAACACTTATGTTCATATTTAAACTAAAATGGCCTAGGATACACTGTCAACAATGCTACACACAAATGATCAAATTACTTGACCCGCATGCACCACTCATTAGGAAATAAAATGGACCTCAACACAGTCTACCAATTTGGACTGAACAAAATGGTTTTTTCAATTTGATGGATTGACATGCACAGTTTGTTATGCAAAATCAATAGTCTTCTATATGATCATGAGCAGAATAAGTGAGAAATAGTTGTAGCTAGCTCCACTTCAGCATGCGGACCCTGATCCCATATATGGCTAAGAAATAGCTGCCTGAAGCGCAATCGCACACCGCATGGTAACCCTGATCCATATAGCTTAGAAAGAAACAGCCAAGTTTATTTGGCTGGTCCTTATAAAGTTTGAGCATCGGGCAAATTAGACTGCAAAATGGTTCTGTACGCAAAGATCTTGCTTATTGAGCATCTATCTACCCAATATATCTACCCAACTAATTCATCAACATTTTCATTGCTAAATTGCTAAACCCACCAAAACAAACGTCCTCCGCTGAGAGTCTTTTAGTCCATCCACCCCAAATTGTGCACCCAAAACAACAACTCTATAAAAACGAACAGTCTATATGATTTCTAGACCTTCTTTCCTTTCTCACATCTAACGGTCAGAATCATTTGTGTCAACCTCCTCATCCTTCGTCCCTCGTCCCTCATCCCATCCCACGTCCGCGACTTAAAACCCCCTCGGCAGCCGTGGTTCGATCCCTCCTCCCCTCTTTTCTTCTCTTCAGTGCTCGACGACCCATTGTTTTTTTTTGCCTTCCGCCCGACGCGCCTCCAAGGTCCTCCCTCGCCATCGCCGACTGCCCCGTGCCCGTGCCTGCAGGGGTAGCAGCAGTGGCCGCGGCTCGCCCCACGCTCGGCCAGTGTCCCGTGGCCCGCCAGAGCGGTAGCGGCCAGCTAGTGCATGCGCTCGCTCGACGGCCCGCGGCCCGCCGGGGCGGAGGCGGCGGCGGCCAGGAGGTCGGGGTGGCCTGGATCTGCCACCATGCCGCCTGTATGGAGGCCGAGCAGTTACATTGCTTCCACAGAGTCAAGGATAACGTCCTGGTTCGCCGAGCGGTTCCATTGCTTCCACGGAGTCAAGCCTCCATCCAGGCGACACGGTGGCAGATCCAGACAAGTTCTACGTAATGCCTCAAGCCTCCATCGGTGACTTGTCAGAAAATGCCCAAGGGAGGCTGTAATAGAACCGTCCAATTTATAAGAGCACAAGTATAGTAGCAATCACCGAAGTGAATGTATCATGTATGCCTGATCTGAAGATAGAGAGGCTTGCCTGTCCTCTGAATCTGAATGTATGTCTACTCTGATTCTCTGAATGTTAGATTGTTAGCTAATATGTTTACTCTGAATCTCTGCTGTCATTTGGTAATATTGTTGTCACTTGTTAATTGTTATTTGCTCTGAATGCCTAATTTGAATGCATGAATGCCTGAATGTTAATTTGAATGCATAATGCCTAAATGTTACTCTGAATGCCTGAATGTAGGATGTGTGACTGATTGTTTTAGTTGATTTGCTACATCTATGTATTGCCTGAATGTTCACTGAACTCTGAATGTATTGTCACTGAAATCTGAATGTATGTATAGGATGTCGACAATAGAGGTTGCACATAAAACTGAGGGATCAAATCTCCTGAGAAGGAATTCGGATGATGTGGGATGGGAATATGGGGTTCTTGTTGATGCTAACAATAAGGACAAGGTGAAATGCAAACTCTGTGACAAGGTGCTGCAAGGAGGGATTTATCGGTTGAAGCAACATGTGGCCCATGAAGGAAAGAATGCGACGAAATGCAAGGCCAGAACACCGGAGGCTCTGGAGGCTAAAGAGAAGTGCAAGAAAGCACTAAATGATGCAAAAATGAAGAGGGAGGAGAAGACTGTTCGTGAGCTAGAACCTAGAGAGGAAGTGAATGTTTCTCGGGTTGGAGGTGGAGAATCAGAGGAAGTCACTTGTATTGGAAGTTCAGAGCCTCACAAATTAGGACCCATTTGTTTCAACTCCAAGCTGATTAATAAGAAAGAAACTCCTTAGAGATTCTATGAATTTGCCAGGAAGATCGGGACCCGGTCCCGCTCTTGGAATCACGCCATTGGATCTCTGCACATCCTTACTGCCTTCAGTGTGCGCACTTTCACTTATCGGGGCCCGGCCTGAATTGAGCTACTCGGCTTCACGGTCGTATCCCCAGATCCGGCCAACTAAGTGTTAGGCATGCGTTCAACATGATATGAGGACGTACAGTGAATCGGTCCTTAATCGACACAGACAGGGATAGATAGGCACCCAAGACATCCATGTCTTGTTGCTTCTCTATCATGATCCCGCCCGGTCTTCTTTATTCATTGACACATGGTTATATTCCACGCTAGCACATATAGCCAACCGTGATTAGTTATCAGCCTATATCATGCAGGTGATAGGTAATCACCCGACTTCTACCGACTAAGCATGGCTAAGCATATATTCGATCCTGGACCTACATAGGATTCAAGATGTATATATATCTGAATAAGGAAGATATATACAGCAAGTGATTCCAATCAATTCCTAGTACTTAATGCATCAACATAAAGGACTCAAGTTGATAGTTCGAAAACATAGGAGGCTTAGAATGCTTCGGGGCTTGCCTTTCACAATGGTTGAGGGCTGGTGATCTGGGCACTCAGGCAACTATTCACCATCAGGCTCATCTTCTCTTGGGGTCTCCTATTGCTGCACTTCCTGATGCTCTTTCTGGGGATCAGCTTCGTACTCCAACATGGTGATTTCTTTCGTCACACCTATTGCATGCATATACAAAAAGTGAAAATCATGAATGCATAAGAAGGGTCATGGATGACATGTCATGATAATGCGCATGGTTAAATAATAACTATCATATTAGGTCATTAGGATGATAACAAGGTTAACTTCTTAATTACTGAGTAGGTGCATATCTCTTCTCTAGAAATTTCAAGAATCCACACTAAGTCCATTTCTTGACCACAACACAACAGCTACAAGTTTAGATCATAACTGGAGTTCTACTCAACCAAATACTATGATCCTAAACTTTCTGAAAAGCTTATAAAATTGCCTACATCTTTCATTTAATCACCAAAAAGCTTATTCAACTACTATCCTAGCCAAAAACAGGTAAACTTCCCAGGTTTGTCCAGAAATCCCAGAGAGTAAGCATTTCAGAAGACCAACTTCTGACAGCTATAACTCTCAAACTACTTGTCCTATTGCCCTAAAATTTTGACACAAGCTAGATAAAGAAATTTACTATAACTTTGTTATTAACCATTTTTATAGCAAACTCCATTTTACCTATGCAAAACACCTAGCAACAGAATCTGTCCAAAATAACTTCTATAATTGAATTTTAGAGCTATAATATTTTTCTGCATACTAGAAATCAAAATTGGGCACAACCAATTGTACCAACAGTTCATAGGCATCATACGCACTCTAGAAAATATGATGGTCAAGCCCAAATAAATTATTTAAATACCTTTATTAATTTATTGGGACACTAAGGTGAAATAAAGAAAATATATCAAAAGTGCACAATAAATTCTAAGAAAATTACAGTAGCCTACATAAGACCCCAAAAGTCTACTGTAGAAAGTTCATGTCTTTTGGATAAATTCAGCACCCTCTACATAAATGACAAGTTATAAGGGCTGATTTTAGTGAAAATAGTTATCCCTACTAAAAAGTGTCAAACAATAGATTTCATATTTTTCTTAGCTTCCCTTAAACCCATTAACACTGTACAAAAATTTTCATGGCAATATGTTACTTATTTGTATCCTTATGAATTTTCTCAAAAAACACCATTTATTAAAAGATAAATAGAAAAACCCTACTCCAATCAAGTTTACTGTAAGTTAAACATTTTTCCTAACAAGAGCAAGTCAACACAAGATCAGCAAAATTAGAATCACAATTTTATCACTTTCCTAGCTCAAGTTATACATTTTACAAGATTGTAAATAATTTAAAAGCACTTATCTAGCTTCATTTATTTCTCCCATAAAAACATCCCAAACAGTAAGTTTCATATTTTTATCAAATACTACACTTCATAATGAATCCAACAAAATTTGGTTCACTCCATTTGGAGACTCCTAGCTCAAGATATGAATTTTTGAAGTTGGTATTCAAATCTATGAAAAATAAGAAAAATCAAAACAAACATAGTGACTGACAGATGGGGCCCGCTGGTTAGTCGAACCCACGCGTCAGCGAACTAGAACCGAGGCGGCGATTGACCGGCGACAGCTCGCCGACGGTTAGGTCTCCGGTGGTAGCGTCACCACGGTTGCACTCCTCGTGCTCCCCCGCACCTAGTGGTGCCCCTCGTTGGACCGGCGATGCACTAGAGCACCCTCACCGGTAGTAAGGGCGGACAGCGGTTGCAGCGCCGCGGTACGCTAGCATTCTCCAGCCATCACGGGCTCTAGTGAGGTGTGCTACGGCTTCGTGGAATCCTAGCGAAGCTATCTCAGGTGGTTCGGGTTCTGGTGAGGCGGCGGTGAGCTCCGACCGCGTGCATGCCGCGGCGGCGGCGCACAGAGCACGGTGGTGCTCTCGGTGTTCTGGCTAGACGACGGCGAGAGGCGGGTCTCCATCATGCCAACTGCTAGGTCAAGGCTTACTCAACCTAATACGCGTGAAAAAGAAGGGAGACGATAGACCAGCTCGGCAACGGCGAGCTCGAACGCCTCGGCGGCCATGGTGGCCGCGGCGGGAGCGGTGGCGTGTTCCCGCACGACCAAGTAGTAGTGTCAAGCCAAGCTCCTACCTAAGCGTAAGGACCACAAGGCGACTACATATCGGAGAAAAGGAGGACAAGAGGTGCGGTGGAACGGTGTGGCCACGGTAAGCCGAGCGCGTGGGGGCGCTCCGACGAGATCGTGGCAACGGCGATGCAAAATACGTCCTTACCAAGGCTCGGCAAGTGGAACTAGCGGGTCGGGGTGGAAGAGGTGATGATGGTGGAGTTGCTGGCGAGCTGAATTGGGCAGTGGTGCAGCGACGACGGCGCGCGAGTGAGTGGAGCACGGTGGCTGTAATGGCGGGCGCGGCGTTCCGCTGGTGGGTGAGAGGGAAGGCAAGCGAGGGCGAGCGAGTAGGAAATGAATGGAGCAGCGACGTCGCCTCGCCCTTAACTACGCTTCTGCCCGACCGGCCAGGAAAACACCGGCGTACGGCCACTAATGGTGCGGCGTTCACCGGTTCAGACCCGCAATCAGTGACTAACGGCACGAGTTTGCAATCAAATAACTCCAAATCCGTGGCAATTCAGCGAAAACTGTAAGAATCAAAATTGTAGAGCTGCATGTAAACTCCAACATTGCTTAAATGAGTTTGGTCTGGATCGGCCTAGTTAACAAACTACAGCGCATCAAACATAGGTATATTGAAACTGTAAACCACCTCCAGACTTAGAAAAAATTTCAAGTGCTAGAACAGTATTTTATTGCTATTTGTGAGCTATTTTTGAGCAAGTTAGGAGCTGAATTAGACCATGACCCAAAAATAAAAGTTGTTACCCTAGTTGAGTACTACAACTTTGCTTAAGGGTGCACTGCCATGCAAATACTCTATGCTATAGTTCAACTTAGGTCAAACATACAACTTGAAAATGGTAAGTTACACTATAACCATGACTTAGAGGCCAAATTAGTCCAAGTCATGAATACCAAAGTTGTTCCATATGACATTCTAAACATGTTTAGGGTACTCCTAAGGTCCCACAAGCATTTTATATATTGGTCACATGTAAACCCTAGCATATGTAAAGCATTTAGTGACAACACATGTAATATAAGCAATCATAGAGATACAATTTGAGATGCTCATGCTTATGAATGATCAATGATGCTTGTGCTCGTGTAATGCCAATGCTAAATGCATGCTTAACACCATGGTGTTATAGAGATGGCCTAGAGCTCGGATATGACTCCATGGAACGGAGCGCCAGACGGTCGTATAGCTTCCCATGAAAGCCCCATGGCATCGTAAGTCTTAGCGTAGTTTCTGACCACTTTAGGAAGGTCGGGATGGCTTCACCTAGGGCGGTCGCGTTGACCTCCCTAGCTATGAGCTTCTGCCAACGCTTGGACTCGTACGCCATCGATCCACCAAAGATCACGAGGTAGCCTCTCGGGTCAGGATACTTATCCCCCTTCTCTTCATTGTCAGTGGGCCTGGACAGCGCTTCTGTGCCGGTCGTCTTGTAGTCGCCGCTTGTCAGGGTTGTAACCCCGGGGTATTTCAAGGCACCGATTAGTTAGTAGGCTGCGCGGCCCACAACACAATGGCTAACAAAGTCCCAAACGACCGAGGCCCAGCAAAAGTTGAGTGGAGCAGGTCAGGCGCCAAGGCCAGGGTCAACCCCGACCCCTCCCATCCGCCTTAGCACACAACGCTCGCAAGACGCATGACCTCTCCCTGTCATGACCCCCGGGCGGGATGAGGGGAGGTCGAGCGCAGCTAGGCGCACCTGCTGTAACAAGAGCAAGCATGCCACACTGACCTCGCAAGGACCGAGGGGACAGTAGTCACCTCGGCCCAGTCAGACACCATCCCTACGCCACGTCGCACCGATGAGACAATACCGCACGGCAGTGGTAATGGGTACGATACCCACCATCCAAATATGGACCGAGTAGATGCTTATACGATCCCACCCACTATAGGATGGGATCTGTGACAAGGGAACTGATGAAAAGGCCATCCAGACTAGCAGAGTGCCCTGCCCCGATGATCGGGGTCATGGCTCTCAATCCTATAAAGCCACTAGGCGAACGACGACCTAGGGCAGTTACCTACTTCGGGTACGACACCCCTAGGAACCAGGAGACGATGACGAAGGCCACGACAGACACTGTGTTGCATAGGACAACTGACGAACTGCCATCGATGCTACAGTGCCACCATGGCTAGCACAGTAGCGCCACGTCACATCCTGCCGCAATGAGCCTAGAAGACGATGACGATAGCCACGACCAAACGTGCACCAGGAGATAGCATAGCTT